GTAAAGTGCTATGTTGATTATTTTTACATAGTAACTTTCTGGCTATGTATGAAATAAAAATTGAATGATTATTTTCACTTTTGAGCCAAAAAGTATTGTCAATTGTCACACTGGACAGAATCCAATAAACATGGCCAGTTCTTTTCCATATTCTTTTGCAATTATCATAGATCAAATTTTCCATATACAAAATGCCTAGTGAGATATATATATATATATATATATATATATATATATGTATGTATAAAAGAGGTACAAATGGCTAAATGTGAATTCTAACTCAACATTGACTTCTGAACCAATTTGATGAACCTCAAAATAACAATTTTTGAAATATGGTCATAATTTTAAATATTCTTACATAAACTTCCCCAACCACTCTAATCATGCATTCAGTGAAATATTTCAAAATTCTCCTTCAGTTTTTAAATGTGTGCTGGTTGCATATTTCAGCTTCCACAACATGTTACTTTAGTCATTAAAATGTTAGACCTTAAATTTCTATCTGTTTCAAGTGACAATCTGACTGATCTAAAACTTAGTTTAGCTACAAAAAACATTGTGTTTCAGTCTGAGTATCTACTCTGCTTTTCTAAAAGAATTTGTTCCTCCCCTGGTGATGCATGATGGCTGTTGTATAATCTTGTACTGCCCAAAAGAGAGGCTATAGAATCCAGCCTATACAAGCAGAGATTTATGAAGTGGCAAATATTTGCTTGAGACAATTGCTGACCTCAAAGGAACATCTTCAGGAGCCCAGGCCTGCTGAGCGTTGCCATATGAGTCACACAAAGATTAGCTTGCAACAAAAGCTGCTGCAACTTTGCATTTAGAAGAAACTTGGAGTCAGGTACATCTTCTCAGCTTGGCTCCATGTGAAATTTAAATCCGTAAATCATTAATTTCAATATTGTCGGGATACAAAAGGAAAAGGAGACATTAGCCTTAAAAGACTTAGAAAGGAGTGCTTTAGGATCCCTCTGCAGATTTCCACCTTCCCTAGCTCAGCCTCTGCTGTAAGGCAGGACACAAACACTGACCTTGGAGCTGTTCTGTGTGCACTCTTGACATGCTTCTGGAAAAAGCAAGTTTAGACAACAGCTTCAAGCTCATCTTGAACTCTTCTAAAATGCACTCCAAACTCTCAAGGTTTATTAGCACAGAACAAACCCAATCTGAATCACACATGAGATGATCCTTAACACAGTCTTGAATTTGACACAAGAGGAGGCTACAAAATCAGTGATGGGCTTTCGTCTGGTAAAATAAAAACAAACAAAAAACCAAAAAAACAAAAAGGGAAAACTGACATGACATAGGAAGAGAAGAAAACAGCTCCTCAAATCCCATGGCTAAAGAATGAAATGAAACAGGACATAAGGTTCTCCAAAGAGCTGTCCATTAAAACTCTCTTGATAACATTCAAGAGGAGATATCAAACATTAATCTAAATCTTCTCATTTGCATAATGTTTATGAATCTGAAAAGACTTTCAGATGAGTTTTGTTTATCCAAACTCCTTGCTTGAACACTTTCAGATGTCCCACCTACTCTTGCACTTTAGAAAATGTATGTGTGCTACTCATTGGCATTATATTTTCAGCACATCACATTGTTAGCTTTACATCTTAATTGCTGGGGAATATGTATGTTTCAGTGAAATAAACCTTTGGGCTCTGAAATTTTCTGCTTGTTTATTCAGTGCAGTTTATACAATGTCCAATAAGCCTATATATCAATTTAACATAATGGGATTATAGCAAATTTTGTCATTAATGAGTTAACAATGGCAACACTAGGAATGAAGATGTGAAAACACTGGATTTATTACACCTTAGAAACCAGAGTGTTCTCATGGGTCTTTGAAGAGTTTGCCCTCTCATCAGCCTGGAACAAGCTAAGCTCATTGCTGCAGTGTTTTTCCAGCTGCTGTTACCTCTGTCAGTAAGAGCACACTGCTCTTACCTAATGCTACAGCAAGAACTGTGCATGGCTCAGCAATACAACATTACTAAACGGGGATGGGGAAAGGGGCAGTGAAAGATTTGGGGTGACTTGTCCTTTTTGAAACCTTCCATCTGTTTAGGCAAGCAGCTGGGCCATTAGTCCCATGGACTAACTGGCATTTGATCCACATGCATCTTTCTAGCCACAATACAAAGTCTGCAAATTGGACAATAACCAGAGTCAGGACTTACATGACCCAAGTGTTCAGAGTGTAGCTACAGCCACAGACTGTACATGGTCACTGGTCCTGGCTTCTGAAATCCTTTAAGGCTCTCTGAGAAAGCCAGATCAGTTCCAGGATTGGAAACACCTGCATAGGAACCATTCACAACTCCTAGGTTTTCTGGCTCTTCCCACAAAAGATACTGAAAAGCTTTTACAGAAGAGGACGCCCCCTGCCCACCTTGATGCAGTAGTGATGTATTTTAGTGAAGGATCAGACAAGTGATAACAGGTTGCAATGGGCAGCACCACCCCAGACCACCACACCAGTCCTTTTTCCAGGACTACAACATAAAAAGCCATAAACCATACACAACCTAATATATTATCTGCTTTGTATCCAGAGGTATCTTGGAGGAGTTAACCTGCTGATCTTTTAATGAACAAATCAGATTGAACAAAGAATTATGCTATAAACCTTGGCTTTCACTTGGTGTTGAAAAATCATATAGTATATAAAAATGGTGAGATCCTGATATTTGATCTGTGTGAGATTATTCCTCTAGGTAAAACCATGAAACTTTGCCAACTCCTTGGCTGCCAGCCACATAAATCAGTTTCTCATACCTCTTCCTATAGGTCACTCACCACACACGTCTTTAAGACTAACATCCACTTTTTCTCCTGTTTCAGCTTAGTCCTATATGTAAAGCATCAGCTGAAATAGGTGTTGTTATCAATCTGTTCTGCTTTATCTTTGCTTCATTTTCTAAGACATATAGCACTTCTGTAGATCATTAGAATTCTTATTATTTACTTAGTTTCTGGATAAAGTGATCCCTTGGTGTTACTTCCTTGTCTTCAGATTTCTGGGTAGGCTTCATTTATCCAGTGCACTTCAAATGCTGGGATAAAAGCCACAGTATAACAATTGCTAATAACAGGGCAAACTTAGTAAATGTAAAGTTACTAAAAGTGCTCTCAGTGGCTGATTCGTACAAAATCTCTAACCAAGGCCTGGCAAAAGGACTGATGTTTTTGTTTATCTGAATGAAAATTGAAAATAAATTCTGAATGAAAATTGAGAATAAATTCTAAATGAAAACACTGAACAAGGAAAACCTGCAGAACTAGAAATCAAATGGGGATGGGGAAAGTAATTAAGAAGATCAATATGCAATGACTTAAAATTTTTGCTGAAAAGACCCCCACACCCTAAACACAGGATTTTCTTCACATATTGCAAAACATACAAGGCAAATTGTTATTAGAAACTCAAACACTTCACACTAAACATGCAGTATTTTAATCCTGTACAATAGCTGGTATCACTGATTCAAGCAGTAATACTGTTTGAAGTAGGGTATAACAGGATAGAAATATAACCCTAGACAGAAAAAGGAAACAATTAATTTCAGTGACTCATTATTGCCTTCCTCTTTATTCAGACACATAGCCTAATATTATTCATAAAGGTGCAAACATGGCAATTTTTCTTCATTTAAATTGGAGCTGAGAGACAAGTCATCAGTTCCCAGGCACAGGGGAGTGTTGTGCCTGTTGTCACCTGTGGTCCCCAGGCAGAGCTCAGAGGTCCTGCCTGCTGTACCAGCACAGAGCAGGGCATCAGTGGGTTTGTGCTGGGCAAGGAATAGGGAGAGCAACGACAGCTCCTTGCTGACAGGACTGTGGGGAGCTGGTGCGTGACACTTCTGCAGCTGCTCTGCGCATACAGGGACAGCCGCTGCTTCTGCCTGCAGTAATCAAACCCCATCTGAAACACAAGAACTAAGTTGCTGTAGTGGGAACGCGTTCACTGCGACACTGAGACTCTGTGAGGGTGGAATCAAAGGGAGCCTGCATCCAGACGATCAGCGTGCTGCACAATTTGTCGAAATATGAACTTGGATGCTTGAATTTTCATTCAAATGTGATGAAAAATTGTGACCGGAGGAACTTTCTACATCCAATTAGGAAAAATAGGGACAAATTCATCCCTTATGCAAGTCCCCCACAAAATAAACTGGTTTAACGTTGGAATAATTCAGATGTCTCTTTTTAGGTAAAATGAGTACAAACTTAGGGAGTTTATGCATTAGGCTTTTCCAACTGAGATTGGCTAGAGCGCTGGTAATGCATAACACTTTAGGGACAGCAGTTAACTTTAATACATACAAAGCTTAAATTTCATTATTTTATAATATGCTGGATTTCACTGAATCATAGCTACTACCTTATCCATGCTGTAGCTATTTTGAAGGAAATAAACATCTCTATTTCAGTTACTTATAAACCAGCATACACAAATTCTTTTACCAGGCACATATATGTAAAAGCACTACATGCACACATCTCTTCTTCTGTACCGGGAAGAAAAGCAACTAGATCTATCTACAGGAAAGTTAATTCAGCTAAATTCACAATAAAAGATCAGTAATTTATCTCACGTTCTGCACACCTTATCATCAACTTCAAAATCAAATGCAATTTTGACAAGCAATATAATCCAGTACTTTACACTCCTTTTGAGATCCTCATGGCATATAATCTATTTTAATGCAGGAGGAAGGAAAACCGAGAGGTGAGATGAGATGTTCAGGACTGTAAAGGAAGTCAGTAGCATGCTAAGGATAGAGCCCAGTTGTACTAATGTTTCCAACCCCTGAAATGTTAAATGCAGACATGCAACCCCACCAGAAAAACAGGCATCACACGAGTGCCCCTGCTTCAAGCATACATGCCTACTGGGAAGTGCTGGACACTTCTGGTTGCCAGCCAGTAAACTTTCCCCCTCCTCAGCGTGAACTCTGATTGTCTGCCAGTTCGCTTACCCATGATTATCATTTTTTCTGTCTGATGAGTGTGGAACAATCGCCCCTCGAGCACGGGTTAGCCGGAGCCGGAAGAGCTGCTTGCCTCCAGCCCAGCTGTCGGAGTCTCCATGCAAGATGCTGTGCAAAATGTTGAGTTAAAAGAAAACACGAGTAGGGGGAAAAGAGAGCTCTCTGAGAACCTCCACATGGTTCCTGTTGCTAAGGGAACCACTCCCTTTGTCTGCATAGGTTAGGAATGGCTGCTTCATTTGGAGTCTGTCTCTTAAGTACTGAAAACAGCACAACAATTTCAGGGAGAAAATAAAAAGTCCGGAATGTCTTGCAACCTGAGAAATGGAACCACCTAGGAATTCTAACATTAAAAGCATTTATTAATAGTTGATCGGGGTGACTCCAAGGAGACTGTAGAACTCCTCTGTGCCATCTGATGGGACAATACACTGCTGCACACAGTTTGATTTAGTTATTGTAATCAACTTTTGTGGATGAGGATAGCTGATTACAGAGAGATTGATAAAGAAATCAGGTCCAGTTTACTACAACAAATGGAGAGAGATCAGCAGTAATAAATATAAGCATTTAACAGGTATTCATGATGGGCCATAGAAGAGAGGTGCCTTTACTTACATGGGCTCCAAATCCTTAACTCTGATTTCTGTAGCTGCTCTGCCCTGCTGCCTCTCTGTCCCCAGACCCAGCACTGGCCGTATTTCCGAACCCCCAAATATCTGAGAATCAGCCTTCTATACAGTCCCATTGGGCTCAGTCCAGTTTAGTACATGGAGTTAGGAATCCTTGCTTCTTATCTTACCCTCTGTGCTATTAAGGCATACAGTAGGATGTGTACTTTGGTACAAACGTGATTTCACTGTGAGTCTGAGGCCCTAAAACATGAAGAGCTGACAGAAATAGTCAGGAAGGTTGGTACATGGGAACAGAAATCCCCTGAGTGTAAACATTTTGTTTGCAAAATGTCAGCCTCTTTCTGACAATGTACAGCACAAAATGCATTGCACAGCACACTCATATCCTGCTTTCTCTCAGCTGATGCCAAAGCCAGCACCCCAAAGTACTGTCAGTGCAATTTTTTTTCTGTGAATTTACCTGTTTTAATACTGTAGTATTATGGCATAGTAATGGTCAAAGACTTAGATCCCGATACAAATTTTCAAGCACAGACTTCTTTAAGGTTCTTAACATATCCAGAGAACAGTCAGAGAAATGAGTTACAAAATCTTAGTCCAAAATCTTAGATGATGGGCTTCTGTATGGAAAGCAGAATTTTCTTTTTCCACCAGAGAGCAGCTGTGAGTGCCTGCAGCAGTGGAGGGGGTCAGTTCAGTCTTGCAGTAAAGAGCTGAGCTTCACTTAATGCAAGGCAGCTGCTGAGGAAAATCAGTGCCAGTGTTCTGTTTTCCAGGGAGCTGAGATTTTCCCCCTCAGCCAGATTAGAGTATAATGTTAGAGAACAGCAGGATGCTCTTAGAGAACACTAGTCAGATGAGAGTAATAAGATGTCTTTGCTCACACACCCCAGTCCAGCACTGACTCTTTGACATGAAGAATTCAGTTGTCACTTCATTGCACATGTTGAATTGTATTTGCAGCATGTGAGTTGCAATACCCTCCCATCTTCCCCTCACCCCAGTGAGTCAAATAAAGCAGTCAGAATGGCTTTGAAGAGAGGCCTTTCTGCTCTTCCTTTCAAAAGATTAAGAGATTAGAGAGTGCAACCCAGACTTCAGTTTAGGGACATTAGAAAGCAACTGTTAATGGGTTTCCATTGCATCATTTTTATCAAGGAACATTTAATTGGAAACCAATTTAAAAGTTTGTGATTTTATGTATTATTTTCCTTTCACAGGATTAATTGGAATTGCTCAATCCTGCTGTGTATGTGTACACACAAATACACTCATCCCATTTTCTCCTGCTCATGGATAGACTGATGTCAAGGCAAATGCAAATAAAACATCTTGGGATTCTCTGCAGCCTCAGCAAGGGAGAAAATGGATTTTATGACTGAAGTGAAGTTTCTGCCAATACTTTACCCACTTTCTTCTGCTGCTTGTAACCCATGGAACCTTCTTCAGTGTAATAACAATGACAAAAGCAAACCCATGCATGTTTAGAGATTCAAAGTTAATTCCTACCATAATAAAATTCTTCAATGCCACAGATCAGTGCATAGTAAGTCTAACAGTGCACGTTATCTAAGCCTTTTGCAAGTGTTTGGGTATATAATATTATCATTAATACAAGAGCATTCTGCTGATCATTCCCATTTTATCACTTCATGATAAAAAGACACGGGGAGCAAATTCAGCTCACATTTGAGAAAGAGTCAGGGACAGCACCAATGTATCCTCCTGCATTACTACACAATGTTAGCCCCCAGAAAAAAAATAAAACAAAATACCAATATTTTTCCCCTTATTTTAACAAAGACAGGCATTTTCTCCTTTAATAGAGATTTTAGCATTCTATACTGGACATTTACTGTTTTCCCATTATTACGAAAGCAATCCATTTTTGCCAGACTGGCAGTGAGGCTCAGATTTGATGATAACAATGTGAATTTACAAGAAGTGAAACTCTACTCAAGAGCTCTTCTTCAGTGAAATCTTGAACTGTGTCTATTACAATAAATCCCATCTTCTCAACTGAAAAATAAACTGCAGTAAGTACTAGTGTCCTAAAGAGCCCAGCTTTGTTATGCTAATCCAAGGTATTTAGAATAGTCAGAAAAGGAATTCATTAGTGGCTACTTGAATCAACTGCTTTTTGTCCCAAATATGAACACATCCCCGCAGTCAGAAATTACCTACACAGTATGATTGAAGCTTATTTATTTACTTACATATAATAAGCAACTTGCAGTGCATGAAGTGAGGCTATGGAAAAGTACATTACAGTGCTCCTGCTTCAGGGCCCTCTCAGTCAGAATTTTAGTATATGTGCGCATTTTCTGTTTCTCATTCAGGCAAAAACATTGAAATCCTATCCCCTCAGTCCACTTAGTGAGCAAGAAAAGATTGCCTGCCTTATATAAAATGGCTTGCAAGGATTTTTTTTTAAAAAATATTTACAAAGTTCTAAAAATATTATCTTGTTTTGTTAAGTGTGTAAGCACTGTAGCTGTTACAAATATACCTCTTGTTATGCAGTGAAGGAGAGAAGGCAGATGGAGCTGTTGATAGCCTCAGTGACAATAATGCAACATGCATTTGCACAGGAACCAGTATTCACCCTACAAGGAGAATTTTTCATATTCCCCAATTTTCTTTTTTTCGGTCGCGAGTTAGAATTAAAATTCCAACATGAGAAATTTTCCATAGGAGGGTCATATTTAAAAGACCCTCTATATAAAAAAAGCCCTTTACTTTGAATGAACTGACATGGATTTAAATGACCTGTGAGAGTATGTGTACAGTTGTATGTGCATGTATAAGGTTTCTTGTCCACTTTCGAGAGCCCAGACTCCCATCCCTCGTGGCAGTCTGCCAAACAGGCCAGGAACGTGAAGAAACTTGACTTTCTGGCACTGTTCCACGCGAGATGCCGGGGAGCTGAGAGCTGGGAAAAGCGGGTGAGCTGGCAGCAAACCAAGAACATTTCCATCAAAAATTTCATTGGAATAGACATTTTCATGCAACGTGTTAGGTTTTGGTGAACCGGCATTAGCTGAGAGAAAAATGTTCCACTGGAAAGTTTCCAGTTTGTCCCAGTGCTGAGATCTTGATATTTGGACCTCGTATATTTCATTCTACTGAAAAACAGATTTTTATTTCCTGGTGTCATGCACAGAGACAGAATGTAGTTTACTGTACTACTGATTGTCTAAAATAATTTCTCCTGACACTGTAAAAAGATACTTTATTTTGCCATCTGCAGTGAGTGCTGCTGTCTCATGACTCTGTGATTTTTTGCCATCTCCCCACCCCTCTTTATCTCATCTAAATGGATCACAAGAAGGAATGTCAGCAGGCGAGGGACTCAGTTGTGAAAGCACCACTTTGTACTCAGAGACAGATTTAAATAACTATGTCTTGAACAAGATTTCCATCTTACTTTCTATATTAGTTCAGTAGGGAAACCAGTACATCCTCACCTTGAAGTGTTATTGAAATTCATAAATATGGATTATAACAATAAACCTGTAACAGTTCTAAGAAACCTATAAAATACAGTAGCTTCAACTACTAAACTGTAGAAAAGTAAAGTATTTAACAGTATATTGAGTACAGATGGCACAAAGTTGTGGCAGAAAACTGAAGTAGGGAAGAATACAGCACTGGATGAACAGTCAACTCTATATTGAATGCAATGCACCCTTTAAACATTTGATTTCACAGATTCTTTGACACAAAAAGTGTATGCAATACATATAATTTAGTTCATCTCATTCAAGCTCCATGGGTGACAATCCTGAGCTTTTGGAAAACTTGACCAAAATTCAGCTTTGTCACCGATGGGATACGATGGGCCAATTCCATGTGCTCAGCTTTTGAACCTGCCTCTCAGAACACTTATTCATATTACACCCCATTCAGGAAGTGATCTCACTGGAAAATCTGAGCAAAGCATCGGACAGAAGTTCCAGATTCAAAAAGCTAAGGAATGTTCTTTCCCCCCCTGCCACTTCATCCTCTTTTAAATTAATTTAGTCCTTGTGAAAATAATTGGATAGACAGCCCTAAGGACCAGGGCTGTTGTGGACACACAAGGGCACATTTCCACTGTCCTCATTTCACTTCAATGAATGTTCACTCTGAGATGTGTGTTTAACTTCCCATGTTGGGCATCATAGGACTTCACCCAAAACTAGTGCAGAGATAAGCACAGAATTCTTCAGCCTGAGAATAAATAACTTTATAATCATGAATAATCATACAATAATTCATCCCCTCTCTTTTGAGTTCTCATAGCAAAAAAGAAACCGAACAACCACTCCCAACTGAGCTGTAATACACAATTGTTAATACTGGTACTGTAACAGTATCCTTTGGTCACTAGCTCTCTCAGTTTTGAATATGGGCACCAAATTTGAGCCAAACCCAGCATTAAACACAGGACTTCTACCTTGCTTTTTC